ATTTCAAAGTATTGTATAAACATTCCAAACAATATTGGTATTATTTTGGTTTTGGTCATCCGGGGAACCTTTAGATTCTAACTACGGGATAAAGTACTTTAAACAATAAGACAGCTTTTCTCAACGAGATTTCTGTCGCAAAACATCTTCGATCGTTTAAGAAAATACAGGTCATATGGTAGGTTAGGTGAGGTAATGATGAGTTAATATGTTATAAGGTTAGCTTAACATTCACCGGTGATGGGGGGGGGGGTTAGTTACTCATAACTAGTGATTTCCGATAGAAATGAAGGTCAAAATCGTTCATAACACATCGCAAACCATCAGAGAAAAAACATAGTCTGCATGTCTAAGTACAGGATGACCAAAACTTAAAATTTACCCAATATAGCCTTTTTCGAATCTAAACATCCAAATACTTATGGTAATTAAAGTAAAATTTTACCCATTAATTAATATAAATGATGATAATAATGTCCCAATGCAATCTCAAAACAAAGTCCAGACAATGTCATCACTTTAAAATTGATTCGTAGCTCCATCTAGGATTGATATACTCTGTAAATTCACTGGTAAAAAATACCCCCCCCCACCACCACTTGTTGGTCGAGTGGTCGTATGTTCCCACGACTCTCTCCCGGAAGCCCCGTCAGGGTAGCCTACTTTCCTAATGTTAGTGAATGCTCACTTAAAGATGTGAGCTAGTGTACCTAATCAGGGAGTATAGGATTCAGGAGGATAGATTCTTTTCCCACCCCTTTTCGTGTTCACAAACTTCTGGGAGGGAGGTGAACAGTTACAGGTGGGATCCAAGGACGAATACACCTCTAGGGTGCAGGTCCCCAGGCCAGAGCGAAAAAAAAATGAAGAGCAAAGGAGGAACAGCCACTATTGCAAGTAACACTACTGGGATCGCGGCGCAAATCCGCTGCAGGAGGCCGTTACAGAGCACCCAATCCGGCCTCTGATCAGTGCGTGCGACATAGAAAGGGCGTTGTCTGGAACAAGCTTCCCAAGTGCTTAAGTGATGGTGAGTGGCGTCAAGTGATGGTTAGTGAGGTGTCATTTACGTTCTGGTTGTCAACAGTTTGAGACAAAGGCTGGTTGGCTTTGGTGGTGAATAGTGTGGAGAGAGGTCCTATCACGGCGAAGGCTGGCTCACGGTTGTTGTTGTTGTTGAGATTGTCGAACCGTAGTCCGACACGGGCCTTTGCCTATAGGCGGCCCGTTTGGTGGTTCCGGCTGGAGCTCCTGGAGCAGCCAGACCGGATTGGGATTGGAGGTTGTCCTACCTGCAGATTTGGAAGGATACTGCAGGTTGCAAGTGTGAGCGGACCCCCGATCAGTGGACGCTTACCACCAACCCCCACTCTTGGACGTGGTCAGTTTCGGAGTGGCGCGCCCCCCGAACTGGGGTCCGCACTTGCTGGGAGAGGATACTTTCTAAGCTATCTGGGTGGTGGGTATCGTGTGATGACGCGGAGAAGGTGGTGAATGTGGTTTGTTTGGGCCTTTCGGGTTAGAGTGGCCGCTGGTGTTGTGTGTGCTTCTTGGGAGATTTGAGTTCTGTTTCGGAGGCTTTGTGTGACTTCGCAGTCGAGGAGATAGTGTTCAAGTGGGTTGGCTGCTGGCTCCTGACAGTAGGTGAACAAAATTATCGCTTAATTTGAGAAATCTTTCGAAAATTTCCTCTCTCGTATTACTAAAATCCTGATTCTCCGAATCAGTTTATATTGTCATGAGAAAACAGTTAAAAATATTTATCATTACACAAAACCAATGTAAAGCAGTTTTTTCGACCTGAACCAAAATGTCTTTCATTTTTTAATATGAATTTACATCACACTTTATTTTAGTAATTATAGCCTTTCTTTTCCATTCCTAGTAAAAGATATGCCTTCTTAAATTCACATTATGTGCTGTGCTGTGTTTTCTTGTTTCGATAATTCGTCTAGCCAAGGAAATTGAAAATTTAGTGTTAGCCAAAAAGTTATTTGCCAATTGAGTCCAGTAAGCATTGCTCTGAGAATCGCTTTTATCATTTAAATAGTTTCAATTTATCCCAAATACAATCCAGTTGAGTGGGAGGCGTAAGACATCACTGGGCGCTGTTCCAGCATAATTGAGGTTAGTCAGCGTTTCAGGCTAGACTCTGTGAGGACGAATATCGTGTCTCTGCTAATGGTGCAGTCACTCGATGCATCGCCGTCTTTGGTTTGTCACGACGACCGTCTGAGGCTTCACTATTAAGGTAGACGTGTCGCAGTGGTCACGTAGTGGCTCAGTGTCGATCTGTCAACTTTAAGAGTCATTCTTCTGAATAGCGTGCTCAAATGTAGTTTGCTGCATACCCAGAGAATTTATCTGCATTGTAACTTAGAAGTATCAGATATCTCAGAAGAATCTCAAAAAGTGGTTAAACAAATTCTGTATTCTGTGTGTCTATCAACTCAAACACTTTTATGTGCATGTTTATATTCACGTTTAAGTCGGTGGTGCGACGGTACTGCCGGCATGTGAGAAGTGTGTTATCCAACTTATCTTGTATGG